ACTCGTCCCCGCTAACTAGTCGGTGCTCGGTTTCAGAAGTAAGTAAGCCTGCAATGGTGACACATCAAAAACGGTTCCCTTTTTTTTGTCAGGAATTTTTTGGATATTGTCTATGGGTCTCAGGCTGGCAGGGAAGGGGAATGGGAAACCAGGATCCGTGTCTGCATCGTTCGGGCCGAGAGTGTAGCTGCCTGCAAGGGATTCACTCGCTTCGGCGTTCGTTTCTTCCTTTCGACACCTACCGCTCACCTCGCTCTGTGTTAGCCAATGCCTGAGACCGGCGACAAGAAGTCCCCCAAGAGCAGTAGACTTGACCCGGAAAGAGAGGGAAAATGAAGCTCCGTCGGCCGGTGTGTCCCCTTTGAATTTCATAAATGTTTAATGTTTTCGCTCGTCTTCTGGCGGTGCAGTGGCTCAGCGCAGAGTTGCCTCAAGTCTGGAAACCCTGAAAAACCTTGAAAACCTGGAAAACCATGGGGAATTGAAACCGCTTATGAAAGTCAGAGAAAAGTGAAAAAGGTGGAAAAAGAACTCGGGAAAAATATAAAAAGCCGCAAGGCGGCCTTCTCCGTTAAAAAATCCGGTTCGCTAGACTTTGATGACTGAAAATGAGTGCCTAAAATTCACGAAAGAACAAAAAATGTGACTACATCTTTTTGTGCCGAAAAAATTGGTCTGAAAATCACGGGCAGCATGAAAATTGAAATGTCGACTCCAACCGTATGGAGCGCACAGAGCAAGTCGCGGAGGCAGTGGTTCTGTGTCCCGGAGCGCGACGAGGCCGGGAGGATCTCAATACGCTGCTCGAGTGTGGAGAACGCACAAAATGAAAATTTATAGCGGGACCGCCCTTACTTTGTGCCGCGGTGCCCAATAAATTCGCCCCGAGGAGAAACGCGCGGAAGGAACACAATAAGAAGAGACTCGAGAGAGAGCGAAGAGGGGCAAGATGTGGGCCGCCGCACGGATGCCGCACGGATGGCGCGTGGAGGTGGCCGAACGAAACGAATGGGCCGGAGGGGAACCCGAGGGGGCCCCCGAACTGGAAACCAACGGAATTCAAAGTTGTCGTCTCCGGCGTAGCGCCTCGCAGCGCGCGGTGGCGGTGGCACCCCCCGCGGGGCACCCGCATGCACCGACCCTCAAAGAAGCAGCCAAACCCGTTTACCGACTTGCCGGCAGGACTGGGAGTCCCGTCGGGGCGCATATAAGTACACGGGCGTTGTTTGCTGGTGCGTGAGCTCGCGTTATTCGTGTTTGAACGGCGCGGGGCCGCGGCGGGCCGCGGCGGAGCCGTTTGCCTGAGACGCCCCACTCGCAAAGTGAAGTCGAGTCGGGCGAGGCGGGGCGAGGCGCGACGGCGCGGGGCAAAGGGAACAAGCAAAGCCCACGAGGAGGAAAAAATACGAGCCCGGCCAAAACTTTGCGAGGGAAAAATAACCTTGTTGCACATGCGGAGAGTGGGAAGCCAAGCCACACGCTGCACCGCAATTCAATAACGTCCGCGGCGGTTCTGTTCAGTATTTCGGAGCTAAATAGACCCTGTGCGAGTGGAAAGTGATTCTCGTGTGGGTTTTGCCGAGTGGCTCGTAGCGCCCGGCCACGGCAGTCCGTGTGATTGCACCACTCTGCGTGTCAACGCCAGAACCACCAGGCAGGCCTTTTGTGTCCTCGGCGCCGACGCGGCCGTCGTGGCTTGCTTCTTGATGGGCCTGCGCCTCAGCACTCTGCACGGCGAGCCGCGGCGAGGTCCAAGACAGTGTGCGGCCAAAGCGTGTCGGCGCCACCAGGTCGGGCGGCCAGACGGCCTTGTTCGAGCGCACGGGGACGCCGACGTTGAGAGTCCCTTGCTGGCCCTTGCTGGCCCTTGGCTCGGCTCGGCCCGGCGCGCACGGGGTTGGCCGGCACCCTTGCTGGGTCACGGCCTCACGGCCTCCTGGCCCCGATTTGGACCTGGTGCAGATCTGATAGCATTTCTCGGAGGGACGCGCGCGCAGCGCGTGGAAGGCACGGAGCTGGAAAATTCGTCCGGCCCGAGTGCCAAAGGACGCTGGAAACGGCGCCGGGACGGCATAACGGTGAAGGCGCGAAGCGCGATCCTCAAAGTGGCTCTTTGTGTTTTAGAGGTTTCATCGTTAAGAAAAGACCTCTTTTTCAATCTTGCAGTGGTGTCACATTGGACGTGGAACGTGGAACCAAAACGTCTTGACACCGATAAGTTGCCATACTCATTAGGAACAGGAGGTGTCACAGCCATCGGACAAGGGATGCCAGCCCAAGGTAAAAGGTCGGCCGCGCCGCGCCTCACCCTTCCTCTGTCCGCTGGCAAGCCCCGGGCAGGACTGCAGCGTGTCCGGCGGGAACATCAGCGGCCATCCTCGGCCACCGCATGACCCATATTCGAGTCAAACCCCCTGAGGCCCTGAGGCGCTGCCCCGTAGTTTGTCTCGCCCAGGGCCCTCACCGCGCCCCGCCCCGCCACAACCCGCCACGCCCCGCCACGCCGCGACCGCCAAATGAGTTTCCGCCCTCTCCTCCCCCTCCTCTGCGGGGACTCTCTGCGTCGCCTCGAAGAAGGCCAGTGCGTCTCTTTGATGAGAGCGGCCGTGCCTACACGGAGCGGCCTTCAGCGCGGTCTTCAGGACGGTGGCCTTCAGCACCGCCTTCAGGGCGGCCTTCAAGACGGCCTTCAAGACGGCCTTCTAGACGGCCTTCAGCGCGGCCTTCAGGGCGACTATCAGGGTGGCCTTCAGCGCGGCCTTGCCTTCGAGACTGCCTTCAGCGTGGCCTTCATGGTGGCCTCCAGCGCGGCCTTCAGCGTGGCCTTCAGCGTGGCCTTCAGCGTGGCCTTCGGCGCGGCCTTCAAGACGGCCTTCAGCGCAGCCTTCAGCACGGCCTTCGGCGCGGCCCGGCACGCATGCACGGCACGTACCTTATCGCGGCCCTGCGAGTCCTGGCCCGCGACCCCACCCCTCCCCCTCTTCGCCGGGCTGCTTCAGGGCCGGGACAAGAAGCAGTGGGATCGGGTCCCGGGGGACACGGTGTGGTTTTCGTTAGCACTTTGACTCGTCCCGCTCGTCCTTCTTGCTGAAGGCGCACCGCTCCGGCCCCGCCCCGCCTGTCTCACGGCGGCCTCCACCGGAACTTTGATTCTCATCGCCGCACGGGCCGCACGGCTCCCCCTGCCCTCCTTTCCCCGCCATCGCCCGCCACCCTCCGCCAAACATTTCGACCGAAAGTAGACCGGCCGCTCGCGCTAGCCTTTATCGTGAACCAAAGACATTTCGGCACGCGCCAGAGGAAGCTTTTAAAGGACGAGGACGGTTACGACAGTGGTGCCGATTGGCAATCGAACAAAATTCAGGTTGGAAATGGTGCTTTTAGAGGCAGTGTCGAATTCTCCCGGGTCTGACTTCAGTCAGCGCCAGTCCCGATTTCCCCGAATCTATTCTGGAAACTCATCGGCCACGTGGTGACGAAAACAGCGCGGCCTTCGTTCGCTTTTCCAATTTAGTGACATTATAATCCGCATCTCTGTCGGGTGCTGTTCCGTCATCAAATGTCAAGCGGCCGCGCCAGTCAGCGGCCGCTCGCCGCACCGACGCGCTGCTGGCGTTCGCGTGTCTGCCTGCGTTCCTCCGATATCCACTAATGCATCCGCTACGGCCGGAAAAAGAGACAAAAACGGGTCGGAACGCAAAAAAACTGAAACAAAACGGTCGGCGAAAGAAAGGGACAAACGAGTCCTCGACTCATAATTCACGCACTGCGTGCGGGGATAACGCTCAGCCGCGCGAAGATGATAAACACGGCGAACAAGTGGGCCGTTCGTCTCACGATGAATATCCTGCAGAGAGAGAGAGAGAGAGAGAGAGAGAGAGAGAGAGAGAGAGAGAGAGAGAGAGAGAGAGAGAGAGAGAGAGAGAGAGATGGACGGACAGACAGCAATAAGAGTGAGCCGTCGGGACGCGACTGCCGGAATATTAAGGCGCACTAAAGTAATGTGCGCTAAGCGGGGCGGGGGGAGGGGTGGGGGAGGGGTGGGGGAGGCGGGGCGGGGCGCGGCCGGCATTTGAAGTGCGCGCCTCGGCGTGCCTCACCGCGGCGCCGGATGACTGCTGGGGGCTGCGTCCGAACCACTCTCCTCCCCGCGGCGTGACGCGCAGACAGGCCGCTGCTTCGCACGCAGCCCCCTTGGCAGCGAGCGTCGCCGAGGCCGGGGCGCGGCGCCCGGCTCGTGTGCCACGCGACAGCGCGACGCAGCGCGACAGCGGCCGATTCGTCTCCGACTCGTGTGCCTCGCCGCCACGCCGCGGCTTCGCGCGCCCCGCCTCTCCTGACAGATGAACGTCCTAATAAGCGTCGCTCTGCGTCGCGAGGCACCGTCACTGCAAGGCACGCGTAGCACAGTGGGCCAGAAGACCGGCGGAAGGAGGCGGTCCAAATCCCGCACGTACTTTGAGCTCCGTGGTCACTAAATAGGACTCGAAGCGAACGTGTGACCCCACCAATGGATTGCTCTCCGAACGAGGAATCCATTGGTGATGTCACACGTTCGGTTCGAGTCCCAGAAAAAAAATCCGTTTTCCCGTACTGGCCTGCTTAAATTTTTGCCGGATGAACAGTGCCGTTGCCATGAAAACTGTCGTGTATAAGAAATATTTCCACTGATTTTTTTCGTTAAATTGTGGCATTTTTCTTTTTTATACTGCAAGCAAAACTCTAGTGGCCTTTTTTTGAAGAGCCAGGCGCGGAAACCAGTGGGGGCTTCTTCCAAAAATGAGCAGACATGTTCCAAACTTTTTCCGAACTGTTTCTACCAGCGTCATGCCGGGAATGCGGCGCTACAGCACCGCACGGCACGGCGCGCTGGAAGGCACGCGTATGGACCCGTACGGTTCGGCTTCCAATACTGCCGGCCCTGCACAGTCCGGGCAATGAACCCGGGTTGGGTGGCCGACGAGCTGGGTCCCTTTGACTGACTCCGCGTCCTGTTGCAGGTCGCGGCTTCACGAGGACTCGCCGTCCGACTACCTCAGCGACCTGCACCTGGTCCTCCGGGAGAACGGTGAGTAATCATGTCGTATGGGATTGGCTGGACGGAGCCTCTGCGAGTAAAGGCTAGGGCGTGTCGTCTGGCGGACGCACGACGATGCCGCGAGGCCGCGGAGGCCGCGGCCGCCGCGTGATATATTTCACACCATAACTCGATTACGACCCTCCAACTTTGTGGCCTACACGGGCTCGGCCGAGGGCCGCGCGCCGCCGCGCTGGATCCCGAGAGCGAGCACAAGAAAAAGCACACAACTTTGTTGTCCGCCATCCACTCCACTACTACATGTCGTCCTCCGGGGCCGCCCCGCCCCGCCCCGCCCCGTGCCGCAGGTGCCGACGCCGTGGCGCGCCTGGAGGAGGTGGGCTCCGCCCTGGTCCACAACGCGTGCCTGGAGCCCGGGTCGCGGCAGCGCCGCGCCCTGCAGTGCCTGGGCAGTGACCTCAGCGAGTTCCTCACCACGCTGGACGGCGTGCACGACGTGCTGCAGCAGGGCGAGGGCGTGCTGCCCGCCACCGCCGCCAAGCAGACTGACTCGGTGAGCAGCCGCCTTGTGGAACGCCGACACTGTCACCAAATGTGACGAATTCCACTCTTGAAAACTGTGAACTCTGCATTTCCAAGTGCGGAGTCTGAGTTCCCCATCTCCGCTTTTCAAGTGTGGAGTCCTTCACTCTTGGCTTCAACAGTGTGGGCAGCGTCTGACCGCTCGCTTCCCGCAGGACCAGGACGGCGCCAAGTTCGTGTGCACGCGGCACGCCGCCTCCGACGTGGAGCAGCTCCAGCTGCTGTTCACCACGCCGCGGCCCGCCGCCGCGCACCTGCTGGTGGGGGCCATCCGGGCCATCGCCCGCGAGCTGCACGCCACCGAGGCCGACATCCGACTGGAGGGCGCCGAGCCCGCCTCCAAGGACGGCAAGGGCGGCTTCCGGTACAGGTGAGGAGAGGAAAACTTTTTCAATTTATGCTAATAAGTTGCTGCGGGTTCAAATCCCGCCGCCGCCGCCCTCGAGACGCTGTCAGGGAATGCCAGGCGGGGAAAATATGCGGCGTGGCGCCTTTCTGCCCGCCGCTCCCCGTTCGGGAATTTACCGTCCCCGCAATGCCTCTCCAAATGGAGCAACAACTTGCAACCTTCGCCGTATAGGCAGTTAGCCCCGAGTGGGGTCACTTTTATTATCTCTCGACGGCTTCATGGGGGGTGGGGGTGGGGGATGGGGGGAAGAGGGAGGCGTATTTATGAGTGCGACCAATGAAACGGTTCTACTGCCGCTCAGGGGAGCTGGAAGTGAGGGGGGAGGGGGGAGGCCGCGATTGGACGGCGAAAAAAGTATAAACGAACGAGGGGGAGAAAAAACGTGCATGCATGCTTCGACAAACAAATAAACAAATTTCGTCGCTGACAAAGGACAGTCGTCCAGCGGCTCTAAGCCCTCAGCCACTCGGCCTCTGGTTTCCATTTGCTGCACGTTTCACTTTTGTTCTCCGTCATCTTTTTTTTTTGGCCTCGCGAAAGCGGCTGCTGCTCATGCAGCTAAATCCTCCTCATTTAGCGCGGTCCGCTGAGCCGTACTGCGGACGCTTCGCGATGCTTCGCGATGTTTCGTCAGCCGTGCGCCCCGCCGGAATTGGACAAGTGCGCCAAAGGCCTCGCGAAATAGAACCAGGACGGCGTCACTGTCGGGGAGCAGCGCGTGCGTGCAGCGATGCGAGAGGGCCGGGACACCGTGGCCCGGTAGACCGGTGGAGGCGGCCGAAACTCTAAACGCGTTTTGAGCTGCAGAGTCGCTAAACAGGACGCGAAGCGAACGCGTGACCCCACCAATAGCATCAAGCCACCACATCGTTAAAGATTTCAAACTCTGACGCGTGGCTTTCTCTCGCGCCGAACCATCTCCTTAAGCCTTCAATCACCTCACGCCTTTCGTGCGTACACTTTGAACCGACCGACCGAATGCCCGAGGCGGCCCGAGGCTGGAACGCAAACCGTCCGTCGGCCGGCCGCGGTGCGCCGCGGTGGCAACAAACTCAGTTGTTCGGCGGAGCCTTCACAATTCTCGCCGTCAAGACAAACCGAAGCGGGCATGCTGTTTGAACTATCCTGCTTACGCGCGCAGTATTCCGTCCGCGTGCCCCTGGCGTGCCCCTGGCGCCCGCAGATCGGTGGGTAGGCAACCCGGCCGACGTCACCGCGGCCGTGTGGCCTGCCTGCCGGGCGCCCTGTTGGGACTCTCTTCTCTGTCTATCTCCCTCTCTCCCCCTCCCCCCCCCCCCCCCCCCCTCTCTGCAACTGCACGCTGTCGCGCTGCGGGGGTGGCTGGGCTTAGCCTCCACTACGGTCCGCAATGAAGACGAATACTCCTTGCTTTGGGAGAACCGCGGCACGCGCTGTGAATACTTCGTAGGAGGGAAAACTTGGGTTTTTTTGGCAGTGGAAAGGCAGCCCTCTGGCAGCGTCGCTTCAAACGTCTCTGTCGATAAGACGACGACTCTGCCGGAGATAGGGATCAGCGTGTGGACTCCGCGCTGCAACCGGATACGGGCCCCCCTCTCTCTCTGCGTGTCTGCGGGAAAGACGAGCAAAAGCCAGCAGCCCCCGCAAAAACTTCGGATGGTGGAGGGAAGGGAGGGGGGAATGGGCGCGTCTTTTGTCAACTAGGAGGTTGATGTTGCACAGCTCGTCTAAGTTTGCGATGCACCGTTTAATGAACCATCCCTGAGAATGCCCTACGGGTAGAAAGGTACGTAATGAGGTCTCGAGCCAGTGGTGGAGCGGAGACCTTGCTGAGAGGTGGATCTGCAGAGAGCGTCTCGGGAAAAGTAAATTTAGCGTCAATTTGCCAGGCGAACTTTTGGAAACCGCTTTATAGACTCGATGACGGTCGTCGCAAGGGTAGGAGAATCAAGCCAACAGTCATCAGACCGTCGTTGAAGCAGGCTGGCGTCCCAAGGTGTTTTCGACCGGCACTAAATTGCTACCTTTTGCCTCAGTAATGAGGCTTTGCAACTGCTTTACAAGGAGCTCTCCAGTATGTTCTCCACCGATCCAAAATATGAAACGAGGCAAATCACGTTGCTCCGGATGGCACCGTAAAGACCGTTTCAGGCGTTATTCGGCGAAACTTGGACGAAGTCGACCGGACTCGAAACCACCGCCTTCAACCCGGCACAAGTTGGACTCCGGAATGCTTCCGCTTGCGCTTACCGTCCGTCCCGTCTTGCCCGGAGCGCCGTTGTGTGGCCGGCTGGGATTCTGTCTGGGGAACTTGAAACGCGGAAGGGGCAGCCAGCCTCGTGTGCAGAGAACGGCACCCTATCCCTGGGCCCTTATCGGACCACGCCACTGTTAGGAACTTCGTATCGGAAAAGTAAACGAATCAACGGTTTCAATGAAGAATGAAAAATGGCGGTTTTTGATCGTCCCTTCTGAAGATTAAAACACACAAAAAAAGTTGATGGGCATTTAGAGTTTCTGAAAAAAGTGGTCCTCAACTGGTTGAGAAGGTCCACGGGTGTGGTGCGTTGTGCCACTTGAAGCGAAAGTTGTTTGCGCTTTGCTGCCGGTGCCGGTGTAGGCTCCTGCCGTGAAGTCGGCGATAGACCAGCCCACCTGGCAGGCACGGCCATTCGACGCGCTGCCCCTCTCGCACTCAAGAACTGTGCCGGGGTGCGAGAAAGACAGAGAGCTGAGGCCCCACTGGGCCCCACCGGGCCCCACTCGATGCGCAGGTACATCATCACGACGCGGCCCGGCCCCCGGCGGGGCTCCGACGCGGCCAGCCTGCTGCCGCCGCCCTCGACCAAGGCCAAGGACCTGCCCATCGGGGTGTCCACGTTCTGCAAGGCCTTCCTCTGGCACCTCGTGCTGGACCGCAGCATGGACATGGTGCAGCTGGGCGCCGGCTTCATGCGCATCTTCGGCCGCGAGCTGCTCACCACAGGTAACGACACTGTGAACCCAAAAGTGTGGCGGAGGTGTGCAATTTTCAGTCTCTTGGAAGAACTAAGTTTGCAGTCTCACCGTTGCCACCATGCCAGGGGCTCTGTGAACTTACTTGAAGTGTGGAGACTGCAAACTCCACACGTCCGAGTCACTCCGCACCGAGAAGTGTGGAGTTCTCCACACTTGGTTTGACAGTGGAGATAAAACTTGGCGCTGAGACGCAGATGTCATCGTGTATGTCCGCTTGCAGGCAAGGCGTTCTGCAACTACTTCACGCTGAAGCGGCCCAAGGGGCTGACGCTGTCGTTCGACGCCATCCTGGAGCGGGTCAACACGCCCTTCCTGCTCTCCATCAAGCGGCCGCCCGGCGTCGTGGAGTTCAAGGCCGAGGTGAGTGAGCTGACGGAGGGTGGCGTGGCCGCCGTCGGGCCATCGGGGAGCGTACGACAAGGCCTGGGGGACCGCGGCCCTAATCCAATGAGTTGATGATGCTGAATGCTGCACGCAAGGAGACGGGGGAGGGGGCTGATCGAGGCCACGACGACGCAGTATGTCCGGGGGGCATGACACGAGTCCCAGCGAGTCCCAGCGTGGCGGTGCCACACTAGGCGAAAGGGTTCTTTGCCGCATTTTTTTGTCAACAGGCAGAAAGTAACTGCCCATTGCCTAAAGCCATCAGGCGGCGAGACGAAATGCGGTGCCCCCCCACACACGCACATTACGCCGCACTGCCCTCGAGAAAGCGAAAGGACGGGCGTGCTGAGTCACCAGTGTGCTGGTTGCGTCACAGGCGGGACTTCGGGACCGCAACTCCACCGAGGGGGTGAAAATGACAGACTCTGCCACCCTTTGTTTGTTTTCGCACGCACACTCGCACACATACATGCACACACCCAGCTGAACGCACACAGAGTCAACTCATTTGTGGTGGACACGTGTGTGAATGTGTGAGTGTGTGTGAATGCGACGCGTCGAACGCAACGCGCTACAAAAGCGAATTGCTTTTATGCGTCCTCGACTGGAGGACGTTGATTTGGGAGTGGAAGGGGCGTGACAACAGGAAAAAAAGTTCGGTCGGTGGAGTCCGGGTTTGGTTGTAGGAATCGACTTGGTTGAAACGCTGTGCCCACCAACGTTCGGTCGTCACGAGCGACCCTCGATTTCATTCGCCCAGGATGTCCTCCTCCAATCCATCCGATCGGTGAAACCAACCCCCCTTTTTCCGTGGCATGCGCAGCGGGAGTTCGTGTAGCCCATTCACGGGAATCTGCGCGCCCGAGTCTCACGTGTCATTCAAGCGAAGCCATGCTCAAAGGCCAGCGACAGAAAGAGATGTCCAAAAGTGGAAGCAGACGAAGCAGACCCCAACGTGTGCCGTCAAAGCGTGCAAGTCGAGTGAATGGGGCGTGGAAAGGAATCCTTTATTTTTTGTCCCGCCGTTTATTTTTTTTTTCTGTTACGTCAAACGTTTGTGAGCAATGTCACGGGTGAGTTGTGGCCGCACAGCAAGTTTGACCGAAGACCGCTTTCTTTTAAACGGACAAAGCTGTGGGCGCCTAGCCGGCACGGTGGTGGCCTTCATGGACGACGGGCAACCTGCACCCAGCTGCTGCTGCGTCTAAAGGATGCTGGGCGCGGCGCAGAGTGGACGGGGCGGGGCGGGGCGGGGCGGGCACACTTAATTGGCTATCAGCATTAAAGGGAGTCCGTATGCAGGCCGTCCCGGCCGCCCTGGCAGGGGCACACTAAGGGAAGGCCAATCCCACGAGGCGCGAAGTGGGGCGTTACCCGAACGACTCCCCCCCCCTCTTCCCCTTCCCGGGCCATTCCAAACGAGCGCTCATTGAAGCACGCTGCCATCGGAGCGCCGCCGTTGTGCGCACGTCGTAGTGACGCCGTGACGCTGCATATTCGGCTCGCTTTTGAAAGGCGAAAAGCCGATTTATTGATATAAACGCAAACAACTCATTATGGGTTGGTTTACTGGTGCCTGCTTCACCTCTCTTCTTCCTGTTGTATCGATGACCCCCCTCCCCTCCCCTTCCCCCCATGGGTGCCTCTTATCTGAATTGCAAATGTCTGCTGCGCCGAGGGCGCTTAGAGGCGCTTTAATTTTGCATCAGCATTGGCCGGCATGGGCCCACTGGCCCAGTGGGTGTCAATGGCGACGAAGCTTGACCGCCCCGGCGCGGCGAGCCCCCGCAGCCCCCGCAGCCCCCGCAGTGGGCCCCTCCACCAGTAATTACAATCAGCTGGGGCACCGAATATTTTGACAGCCGTCAAGGATGTCAACAAAGTGAAGTTGTTGACTTTTGTTGATTCTTCACAACACCGGAAAAACCCTCTTCTGGGATTCGTTCCTAGGAGATGTTTTTACTACTGTGAATGGATATTCTGGAAAACAAAAGTTACATTTTTGGGATTTCGTTTTTGTTAGGTGAGCGTTAGTATTCTTTTCAGGGGGAAGGATGTGCATTTGTTTGCACATTGTTTGCTTTTGAAATGAGTTAATTTTCCCTGTGTGCCCGAAAACTGTTCCACTCGCGGTTCGTCAGGAGAGTAGACGCACGGAGATACTATCCCCCCTGCCCCTAAACGCCATGCTTCGCCGCGCCGCCGTGCTCGCTGGATGGGCGTCGCTTTGCCTGTCCGCCAGGGCGTTCCGCGTTCCGGTCCGCCTCGCTTCCCTGACGTCTCTTCTAGAGCAAAAATAGAAATTATGCACGTGTGGCGGCGGAGTAATTATAAAAGAGCCGCGGGAGTCCCTCGCCATCCCTTCGGCCTCGTTGGCATTCCGGGGCGCGCGTGCGGACGACCCTGCACGACCCGCTGCCGGCGACGGCCTCGGAGGGCCTTCTGAGGCGGCGCGCAGTGGGCCACGAGGACTGCGGGGGGCTGCCTCACTCTGAGGGCGCTCCTCTCGCCGCCGGTCGTGTCGGGATAATCCCTGCGACATTTTTAGCTGTGCGGTGAAAAAATGAGTCCGGGGTCGCTTGCGGTGCCGCTGCACGGCTCGCTGAGTGCTCCCAGGGTCGCGACTGTCAAGTACACCGTCAAAACATAACACGGTCAACCCCCTGGTTTTCCCAGAAAGCCTACATCAAAGACAGTTTGTGATGTCCAGGAAGGTCTTGGGGAAAACAGGAACCGTGCTTTCTCCTGTAGAGACTCGAAAAATAAACATGTTTCGCTGATTGCAAACACATGTTTCGCAGGCGTGGTTTTCTTTTACCTCCCCTCCCCGCTTCCCAACGCACCCATAGTGTACCCACACGGCCCGCGGCGCTCCTCGAGGCGCGCCTTGCGCCAGGAGATCCTTTCAGGACGACCCCCCCCCCCCCCCCCCCGCCACCCTCCGCTGCCCCTGGCCGCCCCGCGGTGCCGAACGCTGTCCTGGGCTGAATTAGGCGGAGGCCGCGATTCCTTTCTCCCCGGGACACCGCGGTGTAGGGGGATGGTGTCGAGCACAGCCTGTTTGATTGTCCTCGGGTTCGATTCCCGGCGGGGCACCGCCCGGGGCGCAGGGCCCGCCCCGCCCCGCCCCGCCCCGCCCCGCCCCACCCGTCGCACATGGGCCCTCCCTTCTCCGCGGCCAACCAGGCCAGCCCGAAAGCCCTTCACATAATCTGCCCTAGGGCGCCTCGCCGAGCCTCGCTTCGAATCGTATTACATGGTGCCGAGCGTCTGTACGTGGAGCGAGCCCCGACGGGCCCGACGCCTCAGCGCGAGGCCCACAACTACACTGCAACAGAGAAGAAAATTTGGAAAACAAAAAGAACCTTTTCTTTAAAAAAAGCACGTAACGGGGCCTGCTTGGCTCATTTTCTTGGCTCCAGTTTTCGGATCGTCCCTCTTGCCTTGGGGTGCCGGCTTTCCTCACACCTCCTGCACTGCTTTACATTCTACTTTATCCGCGCGAATAGAATTTCCATCAATTCCCTATCACATTTGCATGTCCCGCTGCCGGACGACGCCGCTAGTGCGACCAGATAAAAGTCACGGCGCAGCGGGGACCGAAGAAAAAGGACAGAGGGGGGGGGGATCTGGAGTCAGATCGGCGCGTGGAGCCTTGCAGGGCCGGAAACGGGGCCGAGGGTGCCAACATGCGGCCGAAGGGGTGCTTAAGAGCCACACGGTCCGTCCCCTAGATGGAAGCGCCCGCCGAGTAGGCTCCCCCCCCCCCTCTCCTCCCCGGTCGAAAGAGTTCTTCAGCGGACTGATTCCGAAAACTGTGCCATCGGCGCGGTCTCTGTTGCACTCATGGGGTGATCCGGAGGGGTGCGCGGGAGACAGAGCGCCGGAGCGCTGTTCGGTGGTGGCCTGCCGCTGTCCGGCTCACTCTGGCCGTGGTCAAAGGTCGAGGCCTTGGAAGACTTGACGTGTGCCCGCGTCCCTCTTCCTCTCCCACCACCGCGTGCTGACCAGTGGGGCCAGCTCGCCGATATGCCGCGTTGTTTCCTCATCCACTTCCATTTTCCCATAGCCCTGACCTCCTGAACAGCCGAGCCACTACACTGCGAAGCCGGTGGCAATCCGTTTTCAATGACAAGACAATCGGCAAGCCTTGACCTAAAATCTTCACCAGCCTGCCGAAATTTGGCGCTCCGGCCGCCGGCAATACCAAATTTCAGCCAGCAAACGGCAGCAAAGTTGCCACCGGCTTGCGGTGTGGCAGCCAACTGGAGAAGTGAGCCCCCCTCAGGCCATGCACGGCATGCTTGTTTGAAATAGTAACAAGGGACGCTGTGGATGATTGACGCTGGCCAGGTTGCCGGGGCGCGCGCTGGAACCAGTGCCGCCGCCCGGCGTCGCCCGGCGTCGTCGACCGGGGGCATCTTTGACGCCGTGTCCTCGTGTGTTGTAACGGTGCCCTCTGACAAAAAAACAGGTCGCTCGATTAGGAGCGGGCTAGCGGGCTGTCAAAGTTTTTAATTGGTCCTAACAGGAGGTATGTGACCTCCACCCCTTTCACAGTTCAATTATTCCATTTGCCGTTGGACGGCAGCGACATCCAACGCTGGGCTCCAAAACCCGCCCACGCCAAAATGAATGAGATTAAAGTGGACGCTTGTCTGGGGGCAGCCGTGTGCGGGACTTTGGCGTGAGTCGCGTGAACATCGAAAACCCCGCTGCGCAGCAATTTCCCTCTGTACCGCAAAGCCGGGCAAATCCCTGGATGGAGGCGGGACAGCCTTGCCGCGTCCACCCTGCCACCACGGCCACCACGGCCACCACGGCCACCACGGCCACGCCACCACGCCTACAGGCGCGGCTACAAGCTCAGAGGCCACCGTGTCAGACTGCCATTTCGGCGGCTCAGGGTCTGGGTAACAAAGTTGCAGCCCGCCAAGAGACACACTGTGGCCCGACGGCGGCGACGTCAGCCTCGGTCCGTGACGTCGCCGTCCATCCACACGCTGTGTCGCGCTGACGTGATTTCGGGGAAAGGGGGGGGGGCTCCCCACTGCGCGCAGACCATCGCCGTCAGCACTGCCGCACTCACTGCTACTGCCCTCGTTCATCTGCCGCAGGACCTGGACATCAAGGGCCAGATGGTGTTCTGCCCCGAGTCGGACACCCTGCTGTTCGTAGGCTCGCCCTACCTCGACGCCCTGGAGGGCCTCACGGGCCGCGGCCTCTTCATCTCCGACATCCCGCTGCACGACGCCACGCGGGACGTCATCCTGGTCGGCGAGCAGGCCCGCGCACAGGTCAGTCCATTTCGGCGCCTTCATGTTGTTGTTGTTGTTGTTGTTGTGTTGTTGATGTCGTTGGGTCTTCCCTTCAGCGCAAGCGCGTCCGCCGAGGAAAAGAAGCGGCCGTCAATGTGACACGGCATTTAGTGGCGATGCTTCTACCTCTGCGGTGAAAGTGGTGGGGAGGAGGAAAAGGGGACAAGGGAAGGGGGGGGGGGAAGAGGGGGCTGGGGAGGGGAAGAGGGGTGTCGAAGCGAGGGCGGAGGTCGGACGGAGGAGGGAGGTGGGCAAAGGAATGAGTCCTGGGCATGATGGAAGGAGCGGGGGAGGGGGGGGGGGAGGGGGCAGGCAGGCCGCCCGTCTGGCCTGAAAGCAGGGCACGGCCTCCCCCTTGGCAATCCCGAGTTTTACAACAAGCTTGACGTTTTGAGGGGGGGGGGGAAGGGTCAGCGCGGTGGCGGCCAAGACTGAGTAAAGAAGCAAAGGCTCTGAGAATGGGGAATAAGGGACGAGCCCATCTGGCTGCTTTCCTATTATTTGTCTGCAAAAGTCGCTCCGTCCAATATTCCCCGCTGGGAAAATTGTAGTGAGGCGGCCTTGGCGTTCGCGTGGAGGCGGGGAGGGGGGGGGGAGCCTCGCCACGGCCTCGCCAAACACAGTCCGGCGCGCCACTCGGCCAAGAGTCGCGTTCCGTCCGCAAACATGACGTGCTTGTTGTTGTTGCGAGTTGGCGCTGCAGGCTGGAGAGAGAGAGAGAGAGAGAGAGAGAGAGAGTGAGAGAGAGTGAGAGAGAGAGAGAGAGAGAGAGAGAGAGAGAGAGAGAGAGAGAGAGGAAAAGGGGGCGTGCTGATGGTCATGAGAGGCATTTTGTTGCTAGGCACTGTATTATGCAAATGCCGTTACATACCCGAGAGTAGCCCAGGACCAGGTGCAGCCCAGCCTGTCCCGCACTGCTACTTTAGAAAAAGGGACACCGCGCGCCGGGGCCGCCGGGGGCCGCCGGGGCCTTCCTCGGAAGGGTCGGGTTGGTCTCCTCGTCGAATTAACCGTCCACTTAGGGGAGCTGGGGCCAACGTGATCCTGGCGAGGCGGCCGAGGCGGCAGCGCTGGGCTGGCTGGGCCAAGGGCGCTGCGGGCTTGCGGCCGCGTTTGCAAGCATTCGGAGCACTCCCCCGGGACGCGACGAAGGACGAGGCGCTGGGGCCGAGGCGCCGAGGCCGAGGCGGTGGAAGACTGGGAGGAAGGCTCAGCAGGTATTCGGCGCGTCTCTCGTTTCGGTGCCTGCTTGCTGCTGCTTGCTGCCGCTCGGAGCGACTGGGGGAATTCCCCCGGGCCGAGGCCGAGGTCCTAGCGCTGCTGGGGGCCGGGGCCTCGCTGCCACGCAGCCACGCCGAGCCACGCCGAGCCACGCCACGCCCACCCAGATCAGCCGGTTGGTGCATTCCTAAACGGCCAAATGAATTTCTCGGAGGGGGAATAAATTCCGAGCAGCGCGACCAGTGGCTCCAGTCGGACCGGTGCTGCGGGCCACCCTGCGGGAGACTGCGGGTCACCCTGTGGGATACCCTGCGGGACGCCCTGTGGGACACCCTTGGGACACCCTGTGGGATGGTGAGACACCCTGTGGGACACCCTGTCGGCCACCCTTGGGACACCCTGGGACACCCCGTGGGACACCGTTGGGACACCCTTGCGACACCCTGGGACACCCTGGGGCACCCTGTGGGACACCCTTGGGACACCCTTGGGACACCCTGCGGGATGGCCTGCAGAACACGGACCGTCCAGACGGGCGCTGTCATCGGCGAGCTCGAATCATTACCATTTTCCGTTCCGACTTGCAAATCCATCTATCTGTGTCGTGGCGGCCCGCTCCGCAAGTCAGGCCCCGGGGCTGCCGGCCGGATCGGGCGTGCCGAACAAGCCAGGGACACGATTCCCGGCGGACGGCCAGTCACGGTGGCGGGGCGGGGCGGGGCGGGGCGGGGCGGGGCGGGGTGGAGCACGAAGGCGTGAGCTTTGCCGTCGCCGTGGCCCTGCATGGAGTCGAAACGGAGACCAGACGGTCGTAGCTGGATTCGTACATCGGTTCTGTACCGTCGGGTCGCGGGATCGATTCCCATAACACATTATTAAACTGGCTATTCCACTGTGGGTCAAACCGGACGCATCACCAAATTCAGGCCACAGACCGCGGTGGCCGAGTGCACAAAGTGGAGCTAGGATCGGGCTATCGAGGGTCGGACAAACTACGAGCACCGGTCTGAGCATTTTGGAAAAATACCCTAGGCTTGGCGCTGACAGTGGCGGCCCGAGCCTTCTAGCGTTCAGGTCGCGACGATTGGATGGATGGATGCCAAAGTGAGATGAAATGCGAGCCGGATATGGCGTGGAACCGCCTTTTTTCGTTTTTGTCCTTTTTTGAGAGCCATCAATCAAGACCTCACCTCGACCCCGCCCCGCGCAGGCCCGGCCTGCCTCCGCCCCGCTCTGGCTTCCGTGGCCGCCGTGGCCAGGGATCCCTCTCCGCCTGCCGGCCCCGCGCCGCCGGCCCACCCCACTCACTCGCCACACCGCCCGTCGCGAGCTCGTTGATTCCCCGCATTACGGTCCATTTCCGGTCCAACCGCGGACGGGCTTCAAGAAGACGCGCGAGCCGAGCGCCGTGGAGCCAGGCAGCGCGCGTCGCCAACGCAGGCGTGCGCTGCGCGTGGCCTAACCTGCCTTCCGCAGGCGTCCGGGCCCAGGAGCCACTTCATCGCCCCGTCTCCCTCTTTCTCTTTCTCTTTCTCTTTCTCTTTCTCTTTCTCTTTCTCTTTCTCTTTCTCTTTCTCTTTCTCTTTCTCTTTCTCTTTCTCTTTCTCTTTCTCTTTCTCTTTCTCTTTCTCTTTCTCTTTCTCTTTCTCTTTCTCTTTCTCTTTCTCTTTCTCTTTCTCTTTCTCTTTCTCTTTCTCTTTCTCCCTCTCCCCCCGGCAGGGCAACGAGACGGCTGCCTGGCGCAGGGCTGCCTGGCTGTGCTGCATGCGCCCCGCCGTGCCTTGCACCGCTACGCCACGCCGACAGTGCGTGGTCGTCGGCCGCGTTGCGTCGGCACCACTCTCGTCAGTATTCAAAGGTGCGCGCGCGGGGCGCGGCGCAGGCTGCGGCGATGAAAGGCAGAGGGAGAGAAGGGCGGGAGGAGAGTTGCTCCGCGCGAAAGGCACGCGACAAGTTTCCTCTTTCTGGGCGTGTCGTCCGCTCTGCCGCGCCTAACGAGGTGGCCTTGCCGGGCCCAGCCCTGGCCTAGCCCGGCGGGCACGGCCGGCCACATTTCCGCTTCCAGGCCCCGCCGCACCGGCGGTGCTAAACAGAGCGCGCCGCTGCCCAACTATCGGCCGGCGCGCAGCGCGCAGGGACTATCAGCCTTCCTCGACTTGGGAGCAGCGAGCGGCACGAGGCGCACCATGGCGGTGTCAGCGCAGTCAAAGTGGAGGCCGAGCAGACGGCATCGGTACCGCCACCGCGTTTCGGAGACAGAGACGCAATCTCGATTTTAAATGGGGCGGGTAAGCGTGCTAAGGAGGTTGGGCCTCGCCACGCCGTCGGCACAACGACCGAGGCCTGTAGCCCTTCCCCGAGGAGATGCCGGCCGGGGGTTTTGCTTACCCCCAGCCCCCTCTCCACCTCCAGACCAAACCATATTTCCGCAATTTGTGAAGACGGAGCCATTTCGCCCCAGTGCTAATCTGTGCCCGGCCCGCGACGGCCCCGCGACCGCCCCGCCATTCAGCCCCCGGCCACTTCGTCCCGCTTTGCTTTTGCATCAGCAGCCCGCTGTTTGCTTTTCAACCCGCGCGCCTCCAGGACCCACAAGGCGGCTGCAGTCCGGTCTCCAGCCGGTCTCCAGCCGGTCTCCAGCCGGTCTCCAGCCGGTCTCCAGCCGGTCTCCAGCACGCCGCCCGCCCAGCGATCCGTCTCTCTCGCACACCGACGCGACGGCGCGAGTGCGAGGGAGACGGGGCGAGAGGCGTGCAGGGCGGGCCGCCTGGGCCGCCTCCTCACGCCGCTGCAGCCTAATCCTCCCTCTGAGTCCTCTGATCCCCGTCGGCCGGCTTCCCAGCGTGGTGGCAGCTGCCCTCGTCTTCTCACGGCCGGGGGATTTTCGGCGACTCGGGCACCGCCGTCGTCGGCGCGTTATTTCGATTTGATGAGCAGACCTGGGGACACGGGAAGAGAGAGGGGCAATCAAATTGCGCACAGCGCACACGAGTTCGAAGAGTAAGACGCACTACTGTGCAGTAAAAGACAACAACAACAACAACAACAAAATACTCCCCCGGAAAAAAGAGATGTGTTTATACCCAGTTGATTTCTGAGTCATTCATTAAAAGTATTTTATTTTATGTTCCAATCGCTACACTGTTGAATTATTTGGTGAAACTCATTGATTTGGCGTGCCCCGCCCGGCCTCTCTCACCCTCAGTACCTATATACACGCCGTGATAGTCTTGATGGCGGGCCGGCCGGCCGCCACTGCATATTGACGACCCCGGAAACTTGTTGATGGGCTCTCCATGTTCCCCCTAACTTGATCAGAAACCTGACCTGGGCGGGGGAGGGGGGGGGGGGTTGTCCCCCTGCCGTCGCCACCGCGCTGCTGCGCCGGGGGGCGCCACATCCTTGGTCGCCGTTTCGAGAACGGTCCACCAAGCACTGCCGCGGGCCACCGACCTGTCACGGTCCGGGCGACGTCTTTGCGCATAATGTAGTGGAGTGGCCGGGTCGTTCCTCGGGGCGCGGGGCGCGGGGCGGGCACAGACCGGATGCGTGGGTCTCGGTCTCCGCGCCCTGGGCTAGTCTAGCAGTGTGGGTCCGACTTCAGGAGCCTTTCCCCGCAAGCAGCGTCCCGGGGGAGCAGACTGTGTGAAGGAAGGCGGCGGTGGCCGAACAATCGAGAGTTGCGCTTTCGAGAACGAGACCCCGGCGCGCGCCGTCCACTGGGCAAACATGGTACCGCCGCCGTGCCGAGAGACTCTTTCAACAAACCTGGCCAGTGGCGGAGGGAACGCGAGCGCGCTCGAACGGTTTCTCCGCTCTCGCTGTGTGCACGACGAAGCGAGCAGTCGGGCGCAGCTCTCCCAATCCGTAGCGGGTGCACCCACATTCTGCTGACGGGGACGAACGGGGAGATTGCGACGAAGGAGAGATCCGACAGGACCCCTTATTTTTGTTTCTTTTACTTCTCGTAATGTTACAAATTCTGATGGAAGGTTGTTTTTACAGCCATTGTAGAGGAAGGGTGCGCTGGGTGCGCGGCTGGGTGCAACGGAATGTGTTCGTGGTGTGTGTGTGTGTGTGTGGGGGGGGGGGGGGATAATGATGGATTCCAATTTTGCTCAGGCGTCGCCCCGTAAATGAGGTCCTTCTCTCTCTCTCCCTCTCTCTTTCTCTCTCTCCCCTTCTCCTCCCCCTCTTTTTCTCTCTCTCTCTCTCTCTCTCTCTCTCTCTCTCTCTCTCTCTCTCCCCATCCCCGGAATGCGTCACGCTCCGAGGAATATGAAAATCTCTTAATTAGGGAGTCTGGGTACATATGACGGTCGGCGCTGCCGCGGGACCTGCAGGCGGGCAGGCAGGTTGGGCTGCAGCGGGACTGAGAGGCGGGGAGGGGGAGGGGGTAAACAGACGGCCAAGTTCTTTCCTAATAATTTCCGCTCCATCTCCTGCCCCCGCGAGCGCGGCTGCGCGGCTGCCGGCCCTCTGGCTCCTCTGAGCTGGCATTTCAGCTTGACGCGGCTCCGGTTTGCAAGATGCCCGCTGGAATGATGGTAGAATCCGACAGCCGTAGTGGCGGCCGCCGAGGCACGCTGCGCTGGGGCTGAGCGCCTGGAGCGCCTGGAGGGTCTTGAGGGCCCGGAAGTGCTGGAGGGGCTCCGCGGGGGGCGAACGGCTGCGCGCGCCGAGGCCGTCTAGGTCACGTGCCCGCCCGCTGCACTGCTAATGCCCTTGTTTTGCTGCAGGACGGGCTGCGGCGCCGCATGGACAAGCTCAAGTCCTCCATCGTGGAGACGACGCAGGCCGTGGACGCGGAGCGCGAGAAGAACGTGTCCCTGCTGCACCTCATCTTTCCGCCACACATCGCGCGCCGCCTGTGGCTGGGCGAGCAGATCGAGGCGCAGGCCCACGACGACGTCACCATGCTGTTCAGCGACATCGTGGGCTTCACGTCCATCTGCAGCACGGCCACGCCCATCATGGTCATCAACATGCTGCAGAGCCTGTACACGCAGTTCGACCTGTTCTGCGGCATGCTCGACGTGTACAAAGTGAGCAGAGCACCCTTCTTCTGTTTTCCGTCAACAAACTGGGTTGTGAGTGTTGTTTGCGTTCCGCAGGTGGAGACGATCGGCGACGCGTACTGCGTGGCGGCGGGGCTTCACAAGGAGAGCAGCACGCACGCGTGCCAGATGGCGTGGATGGCGCTGCGAATGCTGGACGCCTGCTCCGAGCACCGCACGCACGACGGCCAGCCCATCCGGGTCAGTCTCTTCCTTTTTTCTCCCCTCTCTTTTTCCTGCCCGCCGGAGATGGAGACGCAATAACTGCCGAGCGATTCAGAAGACCACTCCATTTTTTCTCTCTCTCTCTCTCGCACCCTTACGGAGAGTCCGCGACGAAGCGAGTCCTCTGAATCAGTACAAGCCGAGTCCTTGGATTCGCATTGCAAACGCGATCGACGAGCTGGCGGGGAGCGGGACACTCGTCGCGAGACTCGACGGCTGGCGGACAGCGCGGGTCCTTTTGTCCGTCCGTCCGTCTGTCCCTTTGTCTGTCTGTCCGTCTCTTCGTCTGTCTGTCTCTCTGTCCCTCCGCCGTCCGAGCGGGATGACTTTCCAAGAATATACAATTTGGACGTCACGCGTCACATTGCACCGCCCCGACGCGTCCTCCTATTTTCCGTCCCGAGAGACAACAAAACAGGACCACCCCTTTCCCGGCATCGTCGCAGAATATTTATTCGCGAATAAAGGGAGGAAACCCAGCGGCGTGTTGGAATGGACTTGCGCGAGAACGTGACGGAGAGGGGCCTGGCGGGGGCCTGGCGGGGGCCTGCTGGAGGGTCACGGCGTCGCGGCGTCGCGGGCAGGTGCCACTCGATCGGATGTCGCCAGGGTGAGCGCCGGGGAGACCCGGGCCAGCCCAGCGCCCTGTCACTCTATTTCCACCTCGCACTGCATGCAGCACGCCCTCTGACCTTCGATGTGTCGCGCAAAAAAACAGCTCGACACTTTTCTCTTGAAAAATTGCACACGATTCAATTGAGTCCGTTAGCATTCATAAATTGGTCAGGGGTCTTCTTCTTCGTGCGCTGATTTGTCACCGCCGGTGAAGTTTTCAAGGCCGCCGCGTGGAGGGATGGGCGGTCTGGCGCGCCAAGTCATCAATATTATCGCGAGAAAACAAAATCTCCGCTTCATCAATTCATCACTTTGTCGGATTATGAAATGGCCATGGACGGCCCATGGTAAAGCCGCACTGCCGAGTGCAATATTGCTCTTGGCATCCGGTTTCACGGGCCTATATACGTATACTCCCTCGTACACGGCCAAGGGAAGTTGCCGACCCCTCGCCTGTGGCGCTGGCTGCTCTCATGCAAGGCTGGTCCCGGCGGAGCTGTCTGGACACATCCCGAGTGAAAAATTAAATTTCATCACCGCCCCCTCTCTAGCCTCTCCCTCCGCCGTCCGGAGCGCCACAAAGGAATTATTTCACTTAGCGCGGCGACTCTCGGCGAAAAAAGTCCGGTGCTTGAATTTCCATCTCCGTTAGTGCGCTGCCCCGCACTCCGCACGTGGAGATGATTCACGGAGAACGCTCCGAAAGTCTGGCGGCGAAGTTTCTGGACGTACTTCTGGAAATGAACTGTATCTTTGAAGTATTTCGTCGAATTTGTTTCGTGTTACGAAGAAAATCTCCGCCGTGGTATTGACGGTGCAGCCTCTCACCGACCTTCCACCGCGAGTCATTTGGAGTGAAGGCGTCTCAGCTGCCCACCGCGGCCACGCACCCACGACGCCACGCCTAGGGATGCAAAATTTCATGAAAAAATTTTTTGAATTTCACGTGAAATTTTTTCATATTTTTTCAGAAAAATGGAAATTTTTGAAAAATATATTTAAGTGTTTTATGGTATTGCGTATAATAGTAGTAATCCGCTCTTTAAGAAGGTATTTCTCGTAAAAGTTTTCGTGGGTCACGCGGCTACTTTATCAACAATCCACTCTCTATGCCTGAGAAGCAGAGGTTGTGGCTTGGTTACGGTTAATGAGTGCTTTCCAAAGCGTTTGGATGAGAGAAGTGGGGGGGGGAATCATTTGACCGCTGAAACTGGCATGACATCTTTCATACTAGACCCGGAACCACAAAATGTTGGAAATTATTTACTAAACCACGCTTTAAGGTAAGCAATAAATAGCGAAACAACAATGAAGGGTGGTGATTCTGAACGCGTAAGCGTTAACAGTGGCTGGGAAAGTGCATGACGCCTGTTATTCCTCGATAAGGGAATATAAGGGGAACGTTCCTCATCGTCCTAAAACATCAAAATTAAGCAAAAATTTATTTTTCATATTTTCCATGAAAAATATTGCTTTGAAACTTTTCAGGAAAATATGAAATTTTATATTTTTCATGAAAAAATTTCGACCTTCGCATCTCGAGCCACGCCACGGTCCGGACACCGCAAATCCATTTAGAGGGTCGTCTGGTACGGCGGGGTGTAGGGGCTCGAGGGACGCGAGGGCGGGCGGTGGGGAGGCGGGGCGGGGCGGGGCGGGGCGGGGCGGGGCGAGGCGTTCCCAATGATCCTGGACAGTGGTCCAGCCACGCCGCACCTTCCAATCGCCCTGATTTATGCTGGGTCTGAGGGCCGAGGCAGAAGCAGAGGCCTCCGTTTGTCAAAAACTTTACCCACTTTTTTTTCCTGCCGGTTTTTCTTCGGCTTGAACTTTACTTGGCCGTACGTCCCGCGAGAGAGACGTGCATTGAGCCCCGTGCCCTGCGAGGGAGAGGCGTGGCGAGAGCACTGCGCCGTGGCCGAGGTCGCGCGCGCGCCTCGTCAGGGCGCATTAATGCCTCGGGCCTCGGCTCTGATGCTCGGCACGCCACGGCTGTGGCCTCGGTGTGGGAACAGCGTGCAGTACGGCAGATCGGGGTGCGGCGTGGTGACTTTGGTCGCGTTGTGCGAGTGCCGCTACGCTGCCGTTGCCTTTTGCGACCCCCGCACATCTCTGTCTGTCTGTCTGTCTGTCTGTCTGTCCGTCTGTCTGTCTGTCTGTCTGTCTGTCTGTCTGTCTGTCTGTCTGTCTGTCTGTCTGTCTGTCCGTCTCTCAGGCTCTCGGAGTGATTGAAGCGGTGTCCTTTGAGGAGCGCGTGGGCTCATGCGGGCTGAGGCAGCGTGGCGCGCGGCGTGGCGTCCGCATTGCCAGACGATATCGCGCTCAATTTGGCTGAATGTGCCGCACACCGGCGGGCTGATTGATTGCCGAACGTCTGGGCCTGCGGCGTGTGGTTGTGATTGCCCGACTTGAGGCACACATTCGGACCGCTGCGCCATCTCCGTCCCTGATTGGCTGTTTGAGCCCCGAGCAGCTATTCCCGGCATTCAGCCGATAGACGACCGGGACAATTAGCTCCATTCTTTCTGCTGGTGTTGGCACGCTAGGGGGCGGCTGGGACGGCGGGACGGGCGCTGCTGCCTAGCCGAGCGAGCCGAGCCAAGCCGAGCCGAGCCGAACCGAGCAGAGCCGAGCAAAGCAGTCGAAGGCGCGCCGGTTCGTTGGGCTGACGGTCGCGTTAGGCGTGTTAGGCGGGGCCGGGCTCGGGGCCGGGGAGCGAGACGGGGTGGGTGTGTATGGCCAAGACGGCCGGCGGGGGACGCCAGGACGCCAGGACGCCAGCGGGGCTTTGTTCACGCTTGACGGCCGCCTCTCTGTGCTTCTGTGTCCTTCCGAAGCCGGCGCCGGGGAGCCTGGAGCCAGGCCTTGAGGGTTCCTGTGAGGGTCCCTGTGAGGGTTCCTGTCCTGGGTTCCAGCGAGGGTTCCTGGGTTCCAGTGAGGGTTTCTGTGAGGGTCACTGTGAGGGTTCCTGGGTTTCAGTGAGGATTAACGGGTTTTTGTGAGGGTTCCTGATAGAGTTCCTTGGAGGGTTCCTGTGAGGGTTCCTGTGAGGGTTCCTGATAGAATTCCTTGGAGGGTTCCTGTGAGGGTTCCTCTGAAGGTTCTTGTGAGGGTTTATGTGAGGGTTCCTGTGCCGGTCCCTGTGCGGGTTCCTGTGAGGGTGCCTGCAAGGGCTCCACCCACAGCGGCGCGGCGTGGGGCGCCAGGCGGCCGACAAGTAAGCAGGTGCAAATTTGGCGCAGCACATCGGTGGCATTGGCAACATGACTCATGCATGGGGAGGAGATTCAGTCTGCATGGCCTGCAAGATGGCTTTGCTGCAAGCACTCCACCCTGGCCTGGTCAGACATGAAAAAAGCAGCCCGCTCCTGACCCGTCGCAGCCCACTACAACACAGCTGTCCGCTTCTCGTAGTTTACGTCATTGGATATGGGAATAAAATTTTCAAAAATAAGTTGCTATTTATCTACGCTTGTCACTCTGTCAAGAAATACTAGACAGCTGTATTGAGCGGGTCACGCGGGGTCACGTCACGGCGCCTCAGGAGCGGTTTGTCTGTGCCCTGAAGACCTCCACGGCTCAGGGTGGTCGGTGGCACTGTCGTTGACCCCCCCCCCTCCCCCCTTTCCCCCCGGTGATTGATTGCCCATGTCCTCGCACCGCCTTCTCGCTTTATTTTCCTATAAGGCTGCGGCTCCCCTGGGCCCTCATTAAGGGGCGTCACTGTCCGTTCCCGTTTTGGTTTTTGGGGACGGGGAGGGGGGGGGGGGGGGGGAATCTGATGATGAAAAACCAAAGGCACTTATCGCTGGCCGACTTAACCTCACATAAACTAAGCGGAAAACAGCCAATTCAAGTTCGAGGCCGCTACAATAAGCACTCGTTTCAAACCTAGACATTCCCCCTAGGTTCAAACCCCGACACAACCCCTTCGGCAAAAGAGTTGCGACACCCCTTCCCGAGGGCGAGCCCGAAGACCCGAAGACCCGCTACACGAGCTTGCTGCTTGTCGGGCCTCGGGTTGCCACTCACTGCCGTAAGTCGCCCTTAAAGACGGCGCCGGTTGGCAGCCTGGGAGGCGCTCGCTGATCTCGACTAATCCGCCGCACCTGTCGCCGGCAGACGCGAACACGGGCGGGCGGACAGATAGACACCGTCTGTCAGGCGGACAGACGGACGAAACCGGGTCTTCGGCGGAGGAGCGATATTTTGTCGTCTCTCTCCGACCAGGGCGGTACGCTTCGCCTAGCCCGTCTGTGCCGCCTGAGCCATCTGACGAGGCCACCTCTCTCTCGCACTCTCGCCTCGTGGCAGTGCCATCTCTTTCCATCCGGGTCGAGTCTCTGAGCCCCTCTGGGCTG